CCCATTTCCATTTCCCATTCCCATTTCCCGTTCCCATTTCCCATTTGCCTTTCCCATTTCCATTTCCCATTTCCCATTTCCTGTTCCCATTTCCCATTTCCTGTTCCCATTTCCCATTCCCCATTTCCATTTCCCATTCCCATTTCCCATTTCCTGTTCCCGTTCCCATTCCCATTCCCATTTCCTGTTCCCATTCCCATTCCCATTTCCATTTCCCATTCCCCATTTCCCATTTCCCATTTCCCATTCCCATTTCCCATTTCCATTTCCCATTTCCCATTCCCATTTCCATTTCCCATTCCCATTTCCCGTTCCCATTTCCCATTTGCCTTTCCCATTTCCATTTCCCATTTCCTGTTCCCATTCCCCATTTCCTGTTCCCATTTCCCATTCCCATTTCCATTTCCCATTCCCATTTCCCGTTCCCATTTCCCATTTGCCTTTCCCATTTCCATTTCCCATTTCCCATTTCCTGTTCCCATTCCCCATTTCCTGTTCCCATTTCCCATTCCCATTTCCATTTCCCATTCCCATTTCCCGTTCCCATTTCCCATTTCCTGTCCCCATTTCCCATTTCCCGTCCCCATTTCCCATTCCCATTTCCTGTCCCCATGTCCCATTTTCCATTTCCGTTCCCTGTTTCCTTCTCCCACATTTCTGTTCCCATTCCCCGTTCCTGTTTCCTGTTCCCATTCCCGTTTCTCCCGTACCCTGCTCCCGCCCTTCCGGGGCCGTTCCCCATTCCCCATTCCCATTCCCATTCCCCGTTCCCGTACCCTGTTCCCACCATTCTGGGGCTGTTCCCCATCTCCCATTCCCGTTCCCATTCCCATTCCCCATTCCCGTTCCCGCTCCGCACCCTGCTCCCGCCCTTCCGGGGCCGTTCCCCGTTCCCCATTCCCATTCCCCATTCCCCATTCCCATTCCCATTTCCCATTCCCATTCCCCATTCCCGTTCCCGCTCCGCACCCTGCTCCCGCCCTTCCGGGGCCGTTCCCCATTCCCATCTCCCATTCCCGTTCCCGTTCCCGTTCCCGCTCCGCACCCTGCTCCCGCCCTTCCGGGGCCGTTCCCCATTCCCATCTCCCATTCCCGTTCCCGTTCCCGTTCCCGCTCCGCACCCTGCTCCCGCCCTTCCGGGGCCGTTCCCCATTCCCATCTCCCATTCCCGTTCCCGTTCCCGTTCCCGCTCCGCACCCTGCTCCCGCCCTTCCGGGGCCGCCGGCGGGCGCCGTCGCCGTCGCGGTGCCGCTCCTGCCGCTGGGCGAAGCGGGCGATGACGTCGTCCAGCCGGGCCAGGGCCAGGCGCCGGTTCCGCCGCAGCCGCTGCGCCAGCTCGGGGTCCGAGAGCGCGGGGTCCGTGCCTGGGGGAGCCAAAGCCCAGATCCCCAAATTCCCGAATGCCAGAATCCCAGACTGCCCAAATCCCAGATCCCCAAATTCCCGGATCCCAGATCCCGCAATCCCAGATCCCCAAATTCCCAAATCCCAGATACCGCAATCCTAGACTGCCCAAATCCCCAGACCCCGAAATTCTCAAATCCCCAAAATCCCAAATCCCGCAATCCCAGACTGCCCAAATCCCAAATTCTAAATCCCAGAATCCCGGACTGCCTCAAATCCTCAATCCCGAAATTCCCAAATCCCAGAATCCCAGACTGCCTCAAATCCCAAACCTCCAAAATCCCAGACTGCCCCAAATCCCAGATCCCGAAATTCCCAAATCCCGCAATCCCAGACTGCCCCAAATCCCAAATCCCAGAATTCCCAAATCCCCAAAATTCCAAATCCCAGAATCCCAGACTGCCCCAAATCCCAGGTTGCCCAAAATCCCAAATCCTGAAATTCCCAAATCCCCAAAATCCCAGAATCCCAGGTTGCCCAAAATCCCAAATCCCCAAATTCCCAAAATCCCAGACTGCCAAAAATTCCAAATCCTGAAATTCCCAAATCCCCAAAATCCCAAATCCCGACATCTCAAATCCCCAAATCCCTGAATTCCCAAAAAACCCAAACCCCAAAATCCTGAAATCCAAAAATCCCAAAAATCCAAATTTCCCCAAATCCCAAACCCCAGAACTCCAAATCCCAAAATTCCCGAACCCCAAAATCCCAAATAAAAAATTCCCAACCCCAAAATTCCAAGCTCCAAACCTCCCATTTCCAGACCCACCCCATCCCCATTTTCCCACCCTCTTCCCATTTTCTGCCCGGCTCTCCACTTTCCCTCCCATTTTTCCCATTTTCCCAACTTCCCCTCCCTCACCTCATCATCTCACTCCTCACCCCTCACCCCGTTTTCCCCATTTTTTCCCCATTTTTCCCCCATTTTCCCCCCTCACCTGGCCGGTACTCGTCGGTGAGGTGGCTGCCGAAGTTGTAGACCAGGTCGAGGTGCCTCCGCTCCTGCAGCCGGTTGCCCACCTCGCGGAACGCCTCCTGCGCCATGTTCTCCATCTGGCGCCGGCCCAGCCCCAGCCCGTGGCGCGCGCTGGCGCCGCGGATCTCGCGCAGGATGTCCGAGTAGTCGGGGAAGGCGTCGGGCCGGTTGATGAAGCGCTCGATGCTGCGGTTCACCTCGGGGTAGCGCGTGCCGCGGAAGCGGATCCGCTGCTCCAGCACGCGCCCCGTCAGGCTGCTGCAGTCCTTGAGCTGGCAGAGCCGGCGGAAGATGCGCATCATCCTCCTCTTGAGGCGGTTCTCCTGCAGGTACGGCGAGTCGGCGCTGTCCAGCTCGGCCAGGTCCAGCTCGCGCTCCTGCAGCCGCCGGATCTCGCCGGCGTAGACGCGCAGCAGGTTCTCCAGGTGCCGGATCTGCCGCCGCGAGCCGCCCGCGCGCCGCGGGGACGCGGCCTCCGCCGGGCACGGCTGCTGCCCGGGGCCGCCGGCCGGGGCGCCGGGAGGCTGGGATGGAGCGCCGGGACACGGGGATGAGTCGCTGGGACACTGGGAGGAGCTGCTGGGACACTGGGATGAGGCGTTGGGACACTGGGATGAGGCGTTGGGATACTGGGAGGAGTTGCTGGGATACTGGGATGAGGCGTTGGGACACTGGGATGAGGCGTTGGGACACTGGGACGAGGCGCTGGAGCACCAGGAGGGACCATTGGGATACTGGGACGGAGCGCCGGGATCGCTGGATGAAGCGCTGGGACACCGGGAGGAGTCCTGGGGATACCGGGAGGAGTCCTGGGGATACCGGGAGGAGTCCTGGGGATACCGGGAGGAGTCCTGGGGACACGGGGACGGATCCCCGGCGGGACACTGGGATGAACTGGCGGCACACTGGGATGGCTCAGCTCCCTCGGGGCACTGGCACGAACCGGGCGGGCACGCGGCGGGCAGGGCGCGCAGCGGCAGGCGGCGGCGCAGCGCGCGCGCCTTCAGCACGGTGCACAGCTCGTTGATGTAGACGTAGACCTTGCGGCGCCGGCCCCGCACGCGCCGCAGCAGCCGGCCCAGAATGTTCCGGAACTCGGCCGAGCCCCGGAAGTCGGGGTGGGCGCGCAGGTGGCGCGAGCTCAGGAAGGGCAGCACCTCGGGGTGCTCCTGCGTCAGCGGCGCGCACAGCGACAGGAACTGCGGGGGGAGGACAGCCGGTTACAGCGGGAACAGCTGGGAACACCTGGGTACACCTGAAATACACCTGGGATAGACCTGGGATACACCTGAGTACACCTGAGATACACCTGGGAGCAGCTGGGATACACCTGAAATACACCTGAAATACACCTGGATACACCTGGGATACACCTGAGAACAGCTGGGAACAGCTGGGATACACCTGGTATACACCTGGAACAGCTGGGTACACCTGGAACAGCTGGGATACACCTGAAATACACCTGAGATACACCTGAGTACAGCTGGGATACACCTGGGATACACCTGAGTACAGCTGGGATACACCTGGGATACACCTGAGTACAGCTGGGATACACCTGAAATACACCTGAGATACACCTGAGATACACCTGAGATACACCTGAGATACACCTGGGAACAGCTGGGATACACCTGGGATACACTTGAGTACACCTGGGATACAGCTGGGACACACCTGGAATAGCTGGGAACAGCTGGGTACAGCTGGGATACACCTGGGATACACCTGGGTACACCTGGAACACACCTGGGATACACCTGGGAACAGATGGGTACACCTCAGTACACCTGGGATACACCTGGGAACAGCTGGGATACACCTGGGAACAGCTGAGATGGGTACACCTGAGATACACCTGGGATACACCTGGAACAGCTGGGATACACCTAAGATACACCTGGGAACATCTGGGTACACCTGGGTTACACCTGGTTACACCTGAGCACAGCTGAGATACATCTGGGATAGATCTGGGACAGATCTGAGCACACCTGGGCTACACCTGAGCACACGTGAGCACACCTGGGCACACCTGGATAGAACTGAGATACACCTGGGTACACCTGGGTACACATGAGCACACCTGGGCCAACTTTGGGCACACCTGGGACACGCCCACACACACTTGGGACAACACCCTGACACACCCGGACACACCTGGGCACACCCTGACACACCCGGGCACACCCGGGCACACCCTGACACAGCTGGCCACACCTGGGCACACCCTGACACACCCAGGCACACCTGAAACCACATCTGGGTCATACCTGAGCCACACCCTGACACACCTGGGCAGTTCCCCACACACCTGGGCCACACCTGGGCACACCTGAAACCACACCTGGGCACACCTGACAGACAGCTGAGCACACCCGGGACACACCTGGAGACACCTCAAACACAACTGGGAAAGCCTGGGCACACCCAGACACACCTGAGACCTTTTTGGACACACTCAGACACACCTGGGCACACCTGGGCACACCCAGACACACCTGGGCACACCCAGACACACCTGGGCACACCCAGACACACCTGGGCACACCCAGACACACCTGGGCACACCCAGACACACCTGAGACCGTTTTGGACCCACCCAGACCCACCTGGGCACACCTGAGACCGTTTTGGACACACCCAGGGACACCTGAAACACACCTGGGGCACACCTGAGAGACAGCTGAGCACACCTGGGGCACACCTGGGCCCCCTTTGGCCACACCCATATTCACCTGAGACCACACCTGGGCCACACCCACACACCTGGGCACACCCGGGCACACCCACACACCTGGGCACACCCACACACCTGGGCACGCCTGGGCCACACCCACACACCTGGGCACACCACACCCCTGGGCACACCTGGGCCACACCCACACACCTGGGCACACCCACACACCTGGGCACACCTGGGCCACACCCACACACCTGGGCACACCTGGGCCCCACCTCAGACCACGCCCCCACACACCTGGGCCCACTTTGGCCACGCCCCCACACACCTGGGCCCACTTTGGCCACGCCCCCACAAACCTGGGCCCCGCCCCCACACGAACCCCAAAATCCCAAATA